AGGCGTGGTGTGGAAACGAAGGAGGAAACATCGGGGGAGCAAAAGAGAAGAAGGATTTGGGAGACCTAGGGAGAAGACAAGATTGGGGAAGATAGTATGACTCTTAATGGGACAAAAAACGGGGAAGGGGCGGGCTTCGATCTGTGAGCCGCCGAAGTTGATATAGTAAGAATGGATGAAGAAATTTCGGGTGCTCGTGTGTAGGGCTGAGCAAGAACCGACCCGACAAAACCGAATTTTTTTCGGATATTATCCGATTGGTACGGATATCCGACCCGCCAAACCGAATCCAAAATTTGGGCCAGCCTTTGGGCGGTTAACGGGCTGCGGGTAGGGTTTATAAAACCCAGACCCGATCCGCCCGAAAACCTGAAACCCCAAAACGACGTCGTTTTGTATTATATATATACACACTTATAACTTCTGACATCGGCCAAACCCTATCCGCCTCTTTCTTCGATCTGTCTTCTACTCTTCGCTCTATCCTCTCTCTTCTCATCCTCTGTGACTGTGGCTCTGTGAGTTCTGCCTTCAGTTCTCCAGACCTTACTCAGTTACTCTCCTTTGTCCTCTCTCAGCCTCTCGTACTTTGATTTACTTTGGTATTTTGGTGGAAGCTCTGAGTGTGTCCCGTGTCCGCACACAGAAATACTGAAACCCTAATCGCCTAATCGGTGCAAATCGTTCTTCGCTCGTTCGAAATCTATTTTGTGGAAGTTCTTAACCTAACTCCCTAAGTCCTAATTCTAGTCTCTGAGTTATTTGTATCTACGGTTTTGTTGTGAATTTGTTATGTATTTATGTGTTGATAAATTGATAGTATATTAGTATGAATGTATGATGATGTTGATAATGTAATTCATGCTTAATACCCTTATACATTTGACGGGTGATAATGAATCTATGATGATGTTGATGTTTATGTGTTAATGTTGAATAATATATGAATGTATGCTCAGTTGCTCCTCACTGACTAAGTGCTAAAAAAATGATTTTCTGAGTACTAAACTATGCATATTTGAAATGTGAACTCTGACTCTGTGAGAGTCTGAGTATTGAGAATTCTTAAACCTGTATGCCTAATGTTTGGACAATAGTAACAAGATAAGGGACGGAATCTCCACTGTTTGTGATGGTCACAGTCATAGATTGAGCTCCTTCATGGATAACAGAAACATTATTATCATCATTCCAAAATATCCAAAATCTGTTATGGCAGTGAGCAAAAGCATGAGGAAAGTGAAGTTGCATTTTTTTGTTTTTTTTATGTATTTTTGGTTCAATGATTCCAATAAAATTCAGAGAGTGAGTTCTCCTTAGCTGCTTAAGATTGTGTAAGGATTGCTCTTTACCCAGTCCAAAAATGTTCCAAAAGAGAAATTTGATCACAAGGAGGGATTGTAAGAGGACTTTTTGGACCTAGTTTCATAGGGAGTATTCCTATTAGAATGGGTCATGGGGGGTTTATTATCACTTTTTTTTTGTTATGACTTCATCATCGGAAATGGACCCTTTCAGGTTGTTAGCTGATAAGCTAAACAGAAATTGTCCTAAATAGGAGCAAAAATGTTTTGAAATTCCAAAATAGGAGTATCATGTTTTTTATTCCCTAAATAGGAGTAATATGTCAAGTTTGGGAAAAAATACCATGTTTAAAAGCCTTGTAATACCAAACTTGGCAGAAATTTACTCCTATTCAGGGAATAAAAAACATGATACTCCTATCTTAGAATTTTAAAACTTTTTTACTCCTATTTAGGGAATTCTCTCTAAGCTAAAAGCGTGGTTTACTAGAAGAGATATCAATATTTCCCATCATATTTTTAAATATTTCAAAGAAACGAAAATCCAAGTATCTTTAAATTTACCTGTGAACATTAGTAAAATTACAAATAAAAAACTATACTATGTATTTTTTTTTTGTGGGTTTGGATGAGAAAATGATGAATTTAGAAAATAATAAGAAAAAAATCTACTTATATTACTAGTAGAAGAGTCAAGGACATAAATAGTACTAAACATTATTTATTATTTAAATAACAACAATTTCTTTGTCCCTATTTTATCCTCACGTCTAGCTATTTGAATGGTTATTATAGAAACAGTAGTTCGACGAATGTTGTTATTAAACAATAAATATATAATAGCAAATAATTTTGGTAGTAAATAAACATGCAATAATTAAGATAATGAAAGTCAAAACTAGATGTTTGTATTTTGAACAAATCGCAAGTTGTATAGTCAAACCACAACTTGTGCATGTTGACCCACAAAACCATTGAGTTAATCAGGCTATATTAAAATACAATCCACCATGAAATGAGCAAGTCCGACGGAGTTCGACTCATTTTGACATCTGCATGTATAGTCAATTGAGTTATCTTTAAATCTTCGATCGATGAATCCATATACAATTGATGATACCTATAAATTTAAATTTAAGAAAAGTTTTAAACACATATCTTATCGCCGCGCGGTGCAATGGTAGACACACTAGTTAGTAAAAACTTCAAATAACAATATCAATGTACTTTTGTCAAAATGGAAATTAAATGATAAAGTGAGTGAAACATATATCTATTTATATATAAGAAAAGAAATAGCTCATCAAAATACAATTTTACCCTTAATAATAAATAATAGGTGTCTAGCTCTCCTTAATTGTCTCATTTGCTATACTAATGACACGTGGCCATTTTACTCAAAGTACCGAACTTCTCCCAAAGAAATTGAAAGAAAGGAGCGAAGATGAAGTTGGTGGGCCCCAAGCTATAAAAAACCCCAAAATTTTAAAGTGTTATAGCTTTTTCATTTTTAATCCAAATTTTATAAATAAATATCAAAATTCATAATTTTTTGTGATCTTTCATATGAGATCCATATCAAATATATAAATAAAATTTATTAACGGTCACTATAATTATGTTTAAGATTATTTATATACATTTCCTGATCTATTTTGTTGCCTGAATTGGAGAAGTTACTGTATGTGATCATTTTTAGCTACATTTCATATATATTTTTTCTTTATTTTATTAATAAAAGTAATTTAAATTAAATTTATCCATACACCAAAAGATTCAACTAATTCAACCACTTCTCTCTGAATTTCATCCATTTCAACAAATTCAACTATTTTCAGTACTACTAAACGGTCTCTAAAATCAAAATCAAGCCATGAAAGGAAAAATCTAAAAATACTAAATATATTTAAGAATACTTTCAAAGTATTTTATAATTTGATGTGCACTGGGTTAATATATATAAAATCCGCAAATGAAAATCTAATTAGTTCTAATAAAAAAAATAAGAAGCAAATAAGAAGTCAAATGAAAATAAACTTGCAAATAAAAAAGTTCACACTATTCATGATAATAAACCTGCATAGTAGAAGTTCTTGCAATCGAAAAGATATACTCTGTATGAAAAAAACTCAAAGAACTAACAATCTAATGGTGGAAAGTTATGTTAGATTGAAGGACAACAAGTTAATCAAAATGGAATTATTTAATTAAGTAATGAAAATGTGGAAGACGGTGAAACAAAATTGTTATTAGGTGAATCATTACACATTTGTGGAGGATGTGATGTAGTTTTCTCTCTTATACTCCGTATATAATGTTTATAGCTATAAGACAAGTCGGCTAACAATTGAGCGGAATAATTTTCCCTCTCATATATAGTGTTTTAAAGTACTTCGTCCGTAACAAAAATATCTTTTCACTTTCCTTTTTCGTCCGTAGCAAAAAAATCTTCTCATTTCTAAATTTTCCCATCATACATCAATTCTTAAAACAATACATTATTACAACTACTTTTTTTAGATTTATTCTACATTCCATCACATTATTTCACTATCTTTCCAGCATACTGCTCTATCCCGTGCATATGATCGGGTACTATACTAGCATTTCTCAAATTATAAAGAAGGTATGGGGAATTGATCAAAGTGTTAAATGTTCCAACAAGGGGTGGGCGTAACGGTTTGGTTCACCTGAACCGAACCATACCGAAGTAAACCTAACCGAAATCGGACCGTATGCAATTTGGTTTGAGTTTGATACTATTTCTTCCAAACCATATTAAACCGAAACGAACTAAAGAAATTCAAAAAAACCTTCATATATTATTAAAATTCAACAAATCCAAACCGAACCAAACAAAAAAATCGTACTCCCTCCGTCCCAGAATTAACTTCGGTTTTGACTGGGCACATAGATTAAGAAAGTGAGAAATGTGTGGTGGAGAGTTGTGCAGAGGAGAGAGAAATGTGTAAGAACGATTGTGAACCACAAATCCTTTGCTAAAAAGAGAAAGAGGAGATAAATCTGGGACAGACAAAAAAGGAAAGAACGAAGATAATTACTTCTGGGACAGACAAAAAAGGAGGTAAGAGTCAGATTGGTACTCGAAGTTGCATAAAAAGGATCAAATAAGTCTTTACTGTCCGGTGGATTTTTTTGATAATTTTTTTTTAGCATCTTATTCATCAAGTCTAGTTTACTCATACCAAATTTCAGCTAAAACTTCAATCGGGAAGGCATTCAAATGAATTCTTGAAGATAACTGCGCTTTTAACTGCGCAGATATCTTCAAGAATTCATTTGAATGCCTTCCCGGTTGAATTTTTAGCTGACATTTGGTATGAGTAAACTCGACTTAATGAATAAGATGCTCAAAAAATTTCGTCAAAAAATTCCACCGAGAACCACCCCAAATGACGACGGCCAGACAGAGCCTCCTATATAAGGACTTATTTGACCCTTTTTATGCAACTTTGAGTACCAATCTGACCCTTATCTCGACAAAAAAGTATGAGACAGAGGGAGTATGAGTTTTGTTTGGTAATAATTCTTTCCATTGATTCCAAGCAGAACCGGATCAAAATCCAGAAAAAACGGATATGGTCAGCCCCAGTTCCAGCTCTATAATTTTATATGTTTAATAAAATGTTTAATATTTTTACCGGTGCAGGTATTTAGCATCCTCTGAGCCTCCTCAGTTGAGTGAGACATTCTAGGTGACGGAGCACTGTGAAGCGAGGCAGATGAAAGAGGAGCTGAACAGCCCTGGTTCCGATGGACAAACGCAAAAGGGAATCCGGCGGCGGCTTATCCTAGCGGCGTCGGGCTTGGTGAAGGAGCTGAGGCTGAGCTGTTGGTGAAGGAAGCCAAGACAGAGAAATGGAGAAAGTAAGCATTCCATTCACTAATCAAAATCAGTTCCCACACCGACCAAGCCAGAGAAGCCAGAGAAGGAAGAAGAGAAACGTAAGCATTCCATTCACTAATTAAAAAATCAGTTCCCACACCGACGCCGGAAGGCTGAGCGACTCCTGACTGGGTCTATAAATAAACAGGTACAGTTGCAGACATACTCGCCCTTTGGGACTGACCAAGTCCCGCTGGGTTGGGCTGGCCACCCTTTGGGGCCGGCCCCGGCTCCCTCTTTGGGCGCCATTAGGCTTAGGTTAGGTAGGTAGTTAGGGCTAGGCTTAGGTTAGTTTAGGCTTAGGCTTAGTTTAGGCTAGCTTAGGTTTAGCTTTAGGTTAGGCTTAGGGCGGTGGGGGCGTTATGCTGCCTCCATGCCGTCCTGGGCCGCCCGGGGTGGCGTTATGCTGCCTCCGTGGCGCCGCGTGGCGCCAAACCCCCCGTGGGGGGGGTAGGGGGGGGGGGGCAGAAGCAGTATAGGGGGGAGTCGAGGGGGGGAAGAAAGGGGGGAGTCGAGGGGGGGAAGAAAGGGGGGAATCGGGGGAGAAAGAAGAAAAGGGAAAGAGAAGAAACAGGAAGCAGGGAGGGAAAGAAAATTAAGACAATAAAGTTGAAAAAGACAATAAAGAAAAGTTAATTAATTAATAAAAGAACCAAAGAAAGGTAAACAATGTGAGTGGCTTCTGATCACTGGTCATGTAGTGACCAATGTGAAAAGGTAAACATGGTTGTCCCTTTATATTTTTTCTCACTCTATCTTCACTATAAGAAAAATAAAGAGATAATTAGTTTTCTTCACCTGTTTTCACCTGCTTTTGCATTTGTAATTATTAATTTTGAGTCTGTTTTGTTTAGAAGTAGATCTAAACAAATGATGTTCTCAATTTGTTTCCTTAGACCATAAACAATCTATGGAATGAACAAAGCGAGCATTAGTAAAGGAGTTTCTTAATTAAATCAAGTTTCTGACTTTCTTTTAGGAAATTCAGAAATGGAAGAATACCGATAAGTTATGTCATGAATGGGGTTAAATCATCTAATACAAAACGGCTCTGTATGTTCTCTGTCAGATGAATGCTATTTATTTGGCTGTCTTACAGGTTTAGTAGTAATTTATGAACCACAACGCCTAAATCTTTTTCAGTTCTTGTTTTGAAGTACTGTTGTTGTGAATTACTGATTGCACTTGAGGAATTTTACACATTGATAAGAGTCGTAACTACAAAAGAACTGCTAAGTGTGATTTTCTGATATAGTGACACAGAACAAAACAGCAAGTAATTGAAAATCAACAACTTGTAATGGTAACCAAAGCTACTCATGAGTTAACCATAATACCTTCGAAGTTTAAACCATAATACTTGTAATCAACAGTAGTTTTGACATGTTCAAATTTGCTATTTACCACTTTATGCAGGTTTACACCCATCTTAAGTCTCTCATTGGACTACCGAATCAGCTGAGTGATGGCTTCTCCTGGACACTTTTGAAGTGCATCCCACATGACCAGAACAGTCATTTGGTCCAGCTGCTTCGTCCTTTTATTGCAGAATGCAACTCCAAGTTAGCAGTGGCCCTTACCATTATGGAGGAAAGTTTTCTTCCAATGGTGGATCCTAAAACGGGCACAGACATGATACCTCAAGTTATCTATAATTGGGGGTATGTGCAGACTTCGTACCATCATTCCCTCTTTATTATGTTCCAAACTACTGTCTTTAACTTTACTTCTTCGCAGATCACAGCCCGGGCGTCTGAACTACCGCGGATTTTACACTGTTGTTTTGGAAGACGACGACATTATGGTGTCCGTGGCAACAATTAGGTGACTTATAGTCCATGCTTCTTTTAATAAAGAATAATGAGAAATGCATGACTAAAAATTGTCGCTGGGATTGTAGTGTTAGTTTCGCAATGACTGTACTGATCATGCCAACGTTCGATTTTACTATGCAGTGGCTATGACGGTATTCTTGATTTCAATGATTTTGCTATAGTTATTTGAAATTATATTTTGTCCATGCCTTTTATTGTAATAAAATTACAACTGTATATAAAAAAACCTCTTACGTAGAGTATTTTGTTACTGTCTTCAAAAAGGGATGAAATGCATAGGACGTGTCTTTAGAAAACTACTAGTTTCCTACTAACAAAACTCCTAACACAATATGGACAATAATTAATGGTAAAGAAGAATTTAGTATATTTATGAGAATTCCAACAGTAGCCACCACAAAGTTTAAAACATTCACATCCCATACCAGTGGCTAGAATGTACTAGAGTTATGTTTCCCAATTTAAATGAATGAATGAACGAGATCTAACCTACCCTTCACAATGTTCTGTCTGCTCCTTTAAGATGTATATAAAAAAGAAATGTTCTTTCCTTGTTTCTCCTTGAAGTGACAGAATTTGATTTTTTTTAAACCCATCTCATGAAACAGGATCCATGGGACTAAGGTAGTGGAGTTACCTTCAATTGCAACTTGCAGCAAATCCTGCCGCATGGGAATGTGCCGCCGGCTTATGAATTGCATAGAGAAGGTATATAGAAAAGGAACGGGAAGGGGGAATCGAGGGGAATCAGGAAAGAAAGAAGAAAGGGGAAACGGGAAAGAAAGAAAGAAAGGGAAAGAGTATAAAGAAGGAACGGGAAGGGGGGAATCGAGGGGAATCGGGAACAAAAGAAGAAAGGGGAAACGGGAAAGAAAGAAAGAAAGAAAGAAAGGGAGAGAGTATAAAGAAGGAATGGGAGGAAATAGGAAGCAGGGAGGGGAAGAAAATTAAGTTATTTAGTTAATTAAGTTATTTAATTATGTTGAAAATAGAAAATTAAGTTATTTAATTAATCAAGTTATCTGTCAGGCACCCTTTCTAAATTACAAACTACTCTGTCAATCATTTAAAGCTGGTTACTAGTACGATTCTGAAGTATGTTAATTTCGCATCATCTACTATTGAGTTTCTTCTCTCTGGCTGTTTTTATTGGTCCATCAGTTTCACTTCCCCCCTTTACCTGTATGGTGTGTATACTATGAAGTATGTAGAGATATAATAGCCTCATAGATATTATTTTGAACTGCTGAGTGGAAAACCATTGCTAGGGTTGCATTCTGTAGGTGGCTAAGAAGCCTAAGATGACTAGGTGGTTCTATGGGGGTATACTATGTGTTACAAATGAGTGGGAATGGTGCTTACACTGAAGTGCCACAATTAAAGAAGCCGTTTCCCTATTTCTATTAGGAGCAGCGGAGGTGAAGAAAGGGGGAAAGGGAAACGGGGAAAGAGAAGAAGAAGAAGAAGAAGAAGAAGAAGAAGAAGAAGAAGAAAGGGAAACAGGTATAAGTGAAGGAGTAGAGAGAAGGAACGGGAAAGAAAGAGGAAGCAGAAAGGGAAAATTAAGACAGAGGAAGAGAAGAGAAAATTAAGTTGTATAATTTATTTAATAAAAGAACTGGGTTTCATTGAATTCATAATAACTTTAGGTTAGGCTTAGGGCGGTGGGCGCCATTAGGCTTAGGTTAGGTAGGTAGTTAGGGACTTAGGGCTAGGCTTAGGTTAGGCTTAGGCTTAGTTTAGGCTAGCTTAGGTTTAGCTTTAGGTTAGGCTTAGGGCGGTGGGGGCGTTATGCTGCCTCCATGCCGTCCTGGGCTGCCCGGGGTGGCGTTATGCTGCCTCTGTGGCGCCGCGTGGCGCCAAACCCCCCGTGGGGGGGGGGGTAGGGGGGGGGCAGAAGCAGTATAGGGGGGAGTCGAGGGGGGGAAGAAAGAGGGGAATCGGGGAAGAAAGAAGAAAGGGGAAAAGGGAAAGAGAAGAAATAGGAAGCAGGAAGGGAAAGAAAATTAAGACAATAAAGTTGAAAAAGACAATAAAGAAAAGTTAATTAATTAATAAAAGAACCAGTTTTTTTAATTTAATTCTTCTGCCTCTGGTTATAAAGATAAGGATTCTGGGAGATGACAACTCAGCAATTCTGAAGTATGTTAATTTCTTCATCTACTATTTTGAAGTATGCTGGTCTGTATATTATGGAGTATGTGGAGATATATAATAACCTCTCCACAAGTATTATGTTCTTTATGAACGTAAAAGCTAGCAAGTTATTATATATTTTGAATTCATTCATTCAGCCAAGAAGTATAGGAATACTGTAGAAAACCTAGTTCATTTCCATACGCGGAGTTATGATATCTTCTCGCTTCCCTTTCCAAACAGGAAAAGGAAAAAAGAGTGAGATGAACAATATATTTTATGAACTTTCTCCTACATCTAATCTGTGTGGCTGACCTGTAAGCATGCTGAAACAAATATTATGATCAGCAATTCCAGATACGTTCTAGGACCATGTGCTTGTTTTGGATCAGCACCTACTAGAAAACCCGCCCGACCAACGCTTTTTTCCATACGTTCTATTTACCAACTCTTCGATGCAGTGGCTATGACGGTATTCTTGATTTCAATGATTTGGCTATAGTTATTTGAAATTATATTTTGTCCATGCCTTTTATTGTAATAAAATTACAACTGTATAAAAAAAACCTCTTACATAGAGTATTTTGTTACTGTCTTCAAAAAGGGATGAAATGCATAGGATGTGTCTTTAGAAAACTACTAGTTTCCTACTAACAAAACTCCTAACACAATATGGACAATAATTAATGGTAAAGAAGAATTTAGTATATTTATGAGAATTCAAACAGTAGCCACCACAAAGTTTAAAACATTCACATCCCATACCAGTGGCTAGAATGTACTAGAGTTATGTTTCCCAATTTAAATGAATGAATGAACGAGATCTAACCTACCCTTCACAATGTTCTGTCTGCTCCTTTAAGATGTATATAAAAAAGAAATGTTCTTTCCTTGTTTCTCCTTGAAGTGACAGAATTTGATTTTTTTTAAACCCATCTCATGAAACAGGATCCATGGGACTAAGGTAGTGGAGTTACCTTCAATTGCAACTTGCAGCAAATCCTGCCGCATGGGAATGTGCCGCCGGCTTATGAATTGCATAGAGAAGGTATATAGAAAAGGAACGGGAAGGGGGAATCGAGGGGAATCGGGAAAGAAAGAAGAAAGGGGAAACAGGAAAGAAAGAAAGAAAGAAAGAAAGGGAAAGAGTATAAAGAAGGAACGGGAAGGGGGGAATCGAGGGGAATCGGGAACAAAAGAAGAAAGGGGAAACGGGAAAGAAAGAAAGAAAGAAAGAAAGGGAGAGAGTATAAAGAAGGAATGGGAGGAAATAGGAAGCAGGGAGGGGAAGAAAATTAAGTTATTTAGTTAATTAAGTTATTTAATTATGTTGAAAATAGAAAATTAATTATTTAATTAATCAAGTTATCTGTCAGGCACCCTTTCTAAATTACAAACTACTCTGTCAATCATTTAAAGCTGGTTACCAGTACGATTCTGAAGTATGTTAATTTCGCATCATCTACTATTGAGTTTCTTCTCTCTGGCTGTTTTTATTGGTCCATCAGTTTCACTTCCCCCCTTTACCTGTATGGTGTGTATACTATGAAGTATGTAGAGATATAATAGCCTCATAGGTATTATTTTGAACTGCTGAGTGGAAAACCATTGCTAGGGTTGCATTCTGTAGGTGGCTAAGATGACTAGGTGGTTCTATGGGGGTATACTATGTGTTACAAATGAGTGGGAATGGTGCTTACACTGAAGTGCCACAATTAAAGAAGCCGTTTCCCTATTTCTATTAGGAGCAGCGGAGGTGAAGAAAGGGGGAAAGGGAAACGGGGAAAGAGAAGAAGAAGAAGAAGAAGAAGAAAGGGAAACAGGTATAAGTGAAGGAGTAGAGAGAAGGAACGGGAAAGAAAGAGGAAGCAGAAAGGGAAAATTAAGACAGAGGAAGAGAAGAGAAAATTAAGTTGTATAATTTATTTAATAAAAGAACTGGGTTTCATTGAATTCATAATAACTTGTACAAGGGTTTTATCATTCTCCAAGTTCGTTTCCTGCTTTGAAGATAGTTCGTGCCTCCAGTTACATTGAAATCTAGTCTTGACTTATGTTTCATCATCTGTCAGGCACCCTTATTAAATTAGAAATTGCTAATCAAAGGAAATAAGAACACTGGGAAGCTTTTCTTAATGCCAGCTGGTACCAAGGGCCAACTTTAGGTCTTTAGCAATTCTAAAGTATGTTATTTTCACTTCATCTACTATTGAGTTTCTTCTTTTGGTACCAACTACCAAGGTCTATTGTGAAGATCCAGGCCTCAGTTACATTTGAAACTAGAAATTTAGTCTTCTGTAAACTCATGTTTTTGTGTTGAGATATATAATAATAGCCTCATAGGTATCTTGTATTACTCCTGTTCGCTACTTATCTCCACATATGACTTTTCATGGTCATCGTGAAAACGAAAATGTGTCGAGATTTATCCTGCTAGGAATTTTCTCACAACACCAGTATCTTCAGTTAAATACAGTTGAGCTTGACGACCGATTGGAGGCCACCTGGATTCCCATCCAATCTTAGCCTTTGAGAAACTGCCTGCGAAGTTTCATTTCCAATTCAGAAAGCTTGACTTTGCCACAGTCATGTACGAGTTGTGAGCGGTTATTTCTACTGGATAAGGAGTGCTGGCAGCCTCATGATGGGTCTCTTGCTCGGGTTTCAAATAGAGACTGTTCAGGGTTTGTCAGTACGAAAAAAGAATTGAGATCTCTGCTTTCCTTGTCACAAACACTTGGTATTGCAATAATATATCCCAGGGATTTGCGCAAGGTGAGAAGCACTTTGAGACCAAGCCTGCAAACTCAGAGAAGAATTCTGCGAGTTCGAAGAGACTTGCACAAGGTGAGAAGCAGTTTGAGAAGAATTCTGCGAATGAGGATCTTCTGCTGGCGACAAAATCAGCGCATTCGAGGTCACCTGCGAACTAAGAGTTCTGTTCGAGACAAAGCTGAAGTGGCTTGGGATGACATCTGATTTTCAGTTGGCCGACGGTGTCTAGGAGGGCTCCTCGCTTGGCCTGTAGGTCTCCGGTGACGCGAACGTTCGCACATCTTGTCCAACCAGATTCGCATCTCCTTCGCCCAATCACTTTTCGGCCAGCTTCTCCACTTTTCTGCCGTCAACCTTTTGCGCTAGCTTCTCCCCTTTTCCGCGCTAAGCATCATGGTCGGATCTTCCAAGCTCCCTGCGCAGTTCCTCTCCGCCTTGCGTAGACACACGCTTCTCAGTGTTTGCGCGCAAACCAGAGGCAGCTGATCTCAATGTTCCCTATGCTGCTCCATTTATTTATCGTGTGACTTAGATCGAAGCTTCCGAGGGACAACGGCTCTGATACCAATGTTAGGGACCTCAACATTAGGGACCTCAACAACGCAGCAGAATTTTAGTATTATATTGATTAAAAAACTAAGAAGACAGTAGCGATTGCAATGGTTGAAACGAGAGATCAACGTAAACTGAAAATAACATGGTTGAGACTTGAAAAGAGGCCTCACTCTCCCAGCCTAATTCCAACTGAAATTCTGCCTACCTTCTTCCTCCCTCCTTCCCCCTTTTATATCATTTCTCTTCTTAAGGGCTGGCCCATATTTCATGAATTACATGGCCCAAAACATTAATTTATACAATTTACACTCTATTAATAATACTCTATTATTCTTATTGTTATTGGCTGTCCATGTCCCTATCAAATAATGATCAAACTCCACTTACTAATAAAAACTTTGGAATATTAATTATTACCAAAGTCACTATAACTACTTTGTTATTGCTACTACTGCAGTCAGAGGATTTGGTGCTATCTGGAGTTGTTGATGTTAATGAGTGTTATTACTCTTGACGATGTACACTTGTACTTCGTCAAGTGGTACTGTTTTGACCTTGTAATAAATATGACATAAAGAATATAAAACCAACGTGATACCCTATTTTTACTTGATTTGGGAACATATACTATTATCATGAAATTCATACTTAACTCCGCGGTCATCCACCACATAACTCACAATAATTGTTATTTGCTCTTTGACTGAATTACTACTTTATCTAATAGTCTCCGCTTATCTTTTTTGCCATAAGTACTAATACTAAATTTGGGATTGGAAGCAGGGGCATTTGCTCCCCCAGCACCCAGGTCCTCTATGCCCTAGCGGGAGTTGTGAGCGGACGAGGAAGACGGGAGAAAGACACTCTCTAAAATCCCCTTCTGGCTTCAAAGAACAAGACACTATCCGGTTTTAATAAGTAATTCAATATCCTAATTTTGAAATAACTTTCTGTCTCATATATGAGACTTCTCGTCGTTGTTAAAAGCATATAAAGGGGTTCTAAATTTTGAAGCCATTTGAAAAATCAATGCGTTTTTATACATTTTTTAATAAAATAACTTTATGTGGCTCAATATTAATTCTTATCAATGGGAGTATATATGCTTGATAAGGTCTGCTTCTTTAAGTATAAGTTCTTAAGTATTGATGAATTTTTTGCTTACAACAAATGTACTTGAGTGCAGTAAAAGTTTAACTAATTGTACTTCATCTAATCAACCTAGATAGTTTGAACTTAATATTAATTAGAACCGGGGCGCAGTGAATTACTGCTCAACTGTAATACAACATTTCTCTTCCGAAGTGAGGTTGAAGTCGCTTAATTAACATCACTCTTGTTTTGGTTTTGGTTTTCATAAATTGATGTGTTTTAAGTTTCATCAATAAAGTCCTTGATTTATAAGGACATATGATGCAAGAAAGTTAACAAATTTGCACTGCCAAACATCTTCTCAAAACACTGTTGAGGTGTCCAACAATTTTATGTTATCATTATATGTTTTTTAAAGGTGATTATGTCTGCTTGTGTCAATCTTTGGCCAGTTTTGACTTCTTTCTTCTATCTCTGCTTGTGTCAATCTTTGTCCAATTTGTTCTCTGAATGTGTTCTCTCAGGAGTCACAGCAAGTGTTCTTCCCTTCGCTGCTTTTACCCAGTTCAAGGGTCTAACCATTTTCCCTCCCTGTTCCTTCCAACAGCGATGCCTTGTCCGTCAGATCAGTTAACCCACTGGTCTTTAAGGCCATTGAGAAACATTCCCTTTAACATCTCTTGGTCAGCAAGTTTGATAGGAGCTACAACCATTTCGAAGTGATCCCGGTACTCCATTACTGAATCAGTTTGCCTAATACTGAGCATAGGACCAAACGGGTTCTGTACTAAGTCAGGTTGGAATCGTCGGATCAAAGCCTCTTTGAAGTTAACCCAATAATGGTCAGCTGTCTGTTCATCCCACCATTGGTACCAGTTCAGAGTCTTATCGGCCATGGCGATTAAGACTATCTCCACCTTGTCATAATCTGATACCTGGTTTAGTTTGAAATAACGTTCTACCCTGATAAGCCATCCATAAGCATCCTCACCGCTAAGCAGCGATAAATCTACCTTTCTACCCGTATAGACACGTTCCCCGAACCTCGTATTAACAGGCGTAAGAACCGATTGAGATTCACGCGGGTTACCTCTGGAACAGGACGCGTTCCACTTCCCGACAGTTGGCGTCTGCGATTTGTCGTCGGTCGACCTCGAGTTCTTCTGTGGTTGCCCTGAACTTTGAGGTTTTGCATTTTTCCAACAGTGCCTGCATCCTTTCGTCCATCAGTGCTCACATTTCTGGTCGCATATCTGCAATTGATCGCTCCAGCAATTTCTCCAGATTATCTATCCGATGCTCCATGTTCGATCTAGTGAGGACCATACACAGGTGCAACAATCGTAAGCTTTGATACCAATGATAGGTAGCGTAACAATCAGTGGAAACTCGTAGTATGTTGATGAAGATTTAATGATGGAAAACAGAAAATAACGAGACAAGAAGGTTGAGACTCTTCGAGTGGTCTCGCACTCCCAAAATCCCAGTCCCGATCCCAAAATTCTGCCTTCTCTTCTACTCACAGCTCACCCCTATTTATTCTTTTTCTAATGGGCCACCCACTTCTATTTAGTTATAGGGCCTAAACCCCCTATATTGTACAATATTAAGACGTAATCGTATTCTTATTCTAGTATTGTCCGAGGTCTCTATCACTTTAGAGCACTTAAAATTATTCTTGTGGGAGGAGGTTCTGTATCATCATGCTTTATATTTTACTCGCATTTGATATTTTTTTGTATACCTTTGAGTACTCATGTAGTGGATGCTGAAAATGAGGGTGGGCGTGCTGAGAAAAAGGCCTCCAAGAAGACTGTTAACTTTAAGGAACTTAAGCAAGTAGATCATATTCTTGCTTCTCGACAATGATAGGTGACTTTAGTTAGACTAAAGATCACTATGTGTTCCTTTGTATGAATATGCATATTATAGCTGAAAATTTATCTATGGCGTGTTGGATGGTTCCGCAAAGTACCAGTCAAATATTCCCAAAGTATAGTCTAAGTAGTCCTTCCGATTTTGCCAACTGATCATCATCATTTCATCATCATTTTCATTTACCCGAGTGCCGCAATATTACTCTTGTACTAAAGCACAGAGAGACTGTTTCCGGATGACCCATAGTGAAAATCGCGTCCAAAATTGCATGGACTGACTGATGCCTCATAACAAAAAAGCGCAGACAGTTTAGTGAGTCGTTTTGCTTTATTCCATCTTATTATCAAGCCAAAAAATAATGAATCTTTGGCTCCATTGCAAATGATGTAAAGTGATTTTGCCAACTGATCATGGTCAAAATATCCTCCGTGTCTATTTTCTGAACATGTGATTGGTTGGATATATTATATAATCATTCTACATAATTGCAATAGTTTGAAGAACAGTCATTTTCCGGCTCAGTCTTTTAACCGCACGATCCAGTTACATACGGATCCACGGCTAACACTTGCTGGCTCAGCAGCTCCTTCGTTCTGCATTTTTATTTCTCAGATTTGGATTTCTATCCCTCAACCATACAATAATACGTATTAAATGATTAAATCACCTTCTCCGTTTTGATTTGATTCTATCACCTTCTCCGTTCAGATTCCGTTCAGTCACATTCGCCGTTCGGATTTCGTTCAGTCGTCTTCGTTAGAAATCATTTTAGTTTAGATGCATTCATGGGTCTCTCCATTTGGGTACGTGATTTCTCGCTCTCTATCGGTTCAAAAAATCACCAGAGATCGCGTACTTCATATGTCAGAGGTGCATCGATCAGTATATGAGAAGCACAACATCAGTACTGGAATCGACACTATCGAGTGGGTATCTTCACCGAATGTTATTGAAGGATTTGAAAAGGATCATATACTATCATTATCAGGTTTATTGGTCTTACTACTTCAATTCACACATATCTTTCAAATTGAGGGATTATGTTCTTATTACTAACTTTATTCATGATTTGCAATTCATATCTCAATTCAAGATATATCTTATTTACCATATCAGCTTCATCGATGTTAATTGATTCAATTTTTTATATTTTAATAGAATGGATTTACTTTTGTATATGTGCTTTTTCTGTATTGATTTAATCAACATGGTTCTGGAAATCCTATGATGGCATGAAATATTTGACACCTCATACTCGACTATTGATGTTTGCATAAGTATAAATTTCTGAGAATTCTCCCTTTGAGATTTTTTTCCAGTTAGTAATAAAGTCCAACAGTTATTTTCACAGGATTGATTGTAAAATAATCTTAATTAAGAACCAATATGATTAGTGTCTTGATTAGGAACCAATTTTATTTTATTTGATTCATTTGGATTTACTTTTGAATATAGGTGTGTTTTTGATGTATTTATGTAATCAACATGGTTTAGGAAATCCTATAAAGACATGAAAATTTTGAGACTTGATACTTTGATAGTCAACTATTGATGTTAATATAAGCATAAATTTCTGAGGTTTTTGATTTTTTTACCGGTCAGGAATTAAAACTTGTGACAATCTTTTTCATTAGAGAATGAGGTGATGATTGAACTTGACTTTGAAGATTTTATTCTCTTTTTTGTTTCAATATGATGTACAACTTGTGACAATTTTGTTCGGTTGTATCAAATGAATCCCCCCCCCCCCCCCCCCCGCCCGCCAGTTAATGTAGTTTCTGATTGTTATAAGATTAAATTTGATTTGAGGGGACATTGCAAGAAGAACATTTTGTATGTAGTTACTTTTGGTTAGCTAATAAGAATTATGTATATATAGATCTTAATGGCATCGTACAATATGATGTGTTAATTGGGAGTTCAGATTCATGATGTTTTTAAATGAGTGATAGATAGCTAGATTGTGAACAAAATTTGCCTTCCAATCAATGAACTTAGAACCTGGTTGGACTTGATCCAGTTTTAGCTCAGCTGTCCATCCAAAGTTGGTGTTCCTTGTAGTTTAGGCCAGATTAATTAGTAGCGTTTCAATTTAAAATTGATCTCAAACTTTTTAGCCAAGCAATAAAAACAACTTGGTATGACCCTATTTGAATTAACTTGAACTTGATGGGAACCATTCTAAAAATGAATAGGCCCGATTGTTTATTCAATTAGTATTGGTCCAGTTTAGTTATGATATCGTGCCCACTCCTACTACGAGCCTGCTTTGAAGTATAAATTTGTGTCAAGATAATGCAAGTCAGAAGTTTAATTTTTTCACTTCTCTTCATTTCGGCTCATATAATTTTCATTTCTTTCTTTAATTTACAGGATATGCATTGTCATTGTCATGAGTGATTCTCAACATTGCCTAAAGGTCTTCATCATCAATAACTCTTCTTCTTTTCTCTCATCAGAATCCATCCAATTTGAAAAGCACGAAAGCAACTTCTCTTCATTCCGGATTTAAAATTCAGGTTTTCATTCCCGATATAGTTTTCTTTGAATTTATTAATCTTGAATTTAGCAGATCCAAAGTTTCAAACAGTCTTAGTCAATAACTTTTTAAACTGCTTTATGTTAACGTTCTTGTTGAGTAATTCCTGAGGGACTAAGAAGAAGAGTTCATGTTCTTTGCTCTTCTGCATTTCTTCTTGCTGTTGTCTCAATGAAAAAGTAGAGAAGTGGTTCTTTGCTGCATATAGGAAAGTGACTTAATGTTCCTCTTCTTGGGAGTATGCCATGGGATAACCTCTGCTTCAAGTAGACCTGGCCCTTGCATCTCATTTTAAGTATTTGATCATCATCGACTCTTTAGTTGTTTAATTTAATGGGCAATGGAGAAGTCTGTGTCCTAAGTGCGATTAAACATTTCCTTTGTATTGTGATCTGTGAAAACCCCAGATGAATTGCTTTCTCCCAAAAAAAATCAAATCTTTAATTTAAATCTGCAGTACCTTAAATTTATTTGTCATAGTTGTAGCTTTACAGGTTTTGTTCAGATTTGCTTCTTTTGTGTGATCTACATTCCCTATTTTCTTATCTTCTCTCTTTTTAGAAAATTTAGGTTTGTTAATTGGCTGAAATTGGTTCTCACTTTTTTCTGTTTTTTTTTTGCTAACCAATATAAAGAAGAATAGTAGAGTTTATGTTTTATGTTCACTAGCAGACTAAACAAACTCAAGTTTGATCAAGTCTTAAAATAGCATTGCCAAAGAGAATATTAATTGCCTAAGGTATTGAAAGCTCAATAATCACTTTTTAGTTCCAAATAATCCATGCTCATGAACTGATGTAAATGTTATGGAAAATCATTATAAACAGGGAAAAGATTTTCAGAAATGAACAATTTGATATTTAGAACTGTGTTGTATAGAATATTATTTGAAACTAAGTGGTATGCTTTAATAACCAAAATCAACAAAACCACCATTTCAAACAGCTTAAAGTGTAAAACTTTTAAATAAACTTTCATGTGAAAGAAACAACAAAGATAAGTGCACATTGATAAACCACAGCATCCTTCACTCCAAGATAAACAACAAAGATAAGTGCACATGTGATAAACTTTTAGTTCCATTTCTTATTTAGTTGTTTATGTTCACTTATCAAGGAATGCAATTTTAAAGATTTACAATTTAATACTGAATTATCACTCATTTAGATTCTTTAAATTCTCCAACAATGTGTAGTTGCTGCTCTAAGTCGTTCAAATATGGAATAATGTGCAGTTGTTGCTCTAATTGAATAGCTGGAACACTAATTGGATGTCGTGGACATATGTGAAGGGCTAATCGAGGTATACAAGCGACGACAAATCACATAGGTAAAACTTATGACCTTTTGAATTCCGAACTTTCATTTACTTCCTGTTCGTTTAAGTCAGTTAAATTGCTTCTTTTCATTGTTGTCATTTGCTGTTGTTTAGTGGAAGTAATAATACTTGCCTAATTTTTTATGGCACCCCAAAGTTGATCAATTAAGCTTGGCATAACTTTTTTCCATCTTGATATATAAGTTGTTGTTTGAGTTTTTATTATGTACTCACAATGATTTTTAATATTACAAACATAGTCATTTGTTGTGCAGCTATCTGGAATGATCCAGCGCGAAGATGGCTAAAGTTATGGGCTGAACATGATGCAGTTGTTGGATCGGACAACAATCCCTAAGTACATGCTAGAATATGGTTGAAATTGCTTTTGCATAATAACCATTATTTAGTACATAGTATTATTTATGTGGTGAATGTACTACAATTGCACCGCGAAATTGTAGACTTATGTCAGGGCACACATATCATACGGCTCATATTTTGTCGTCTTATCGATCTTAAATGACTTCTACATAGAGTGTACCTTTAGTTATAATTTTGAGAACAATGTTTACCAATACAATCAGTTTTCTTGCCTTTTTCTCACCAAAAAGTGAGATTTATTTTTAGAATACAAATGGGTGATGCTGCAACTTAAGATGTCAGTGGCCGGTGATAATGCACTAATAGCTGAGTCTAAATTCCTTTCTCCATAAATTTGTTAAATTGTAAAGGATTATTTTTTAATTGTATTTAATTTTCATATAAGTTGTTTATATTTTGCTTGCTGAAAATATTATGAAGGATAAGTGCGATGACGATTATGACATGAAATTACTATCATGTCATTCTTTAATAGATAACTTTTATTTAGGCGGGAGGCCGAACGGGTTGGCCTTTCGTTGTACATTTTAATTTAATTAATAAATTATAGTTAAAGTAGTATAGTGAGTGAATATTGGAGATCAAAATTATCACGAATTGTTGTGGACTTGTGGTCAGGCATGCCCATACTCATTACTCATGGTCCATGGAAAGAAAAATAGTGAAAAGCTCTACGTGAGATTATGAAATTGACTTTATATTTAACTAGAAACAGAATTTATTGTATCTTCATTTATTTACATAAGTGGATAAGTGTGCACGACATTATTTAATCAAACCTATAAAAGCTAAGTTTCAATAGTACTGCGTACTGTAATTGCTTCCATATTTAGTATTGAGTGTAACACACACACACATTATTTAATCAAACATATCAAACCTATAAAACCTATAAAATATTAAAATTACTTTAATATTTTCTTAGATTTGAGATATATTTAGTATTTTCTTACAATCTCATCCACTTAGAAATGCTTGACGTTGATGTGTTTGTTCTTATTGGATCGATATACTTATTATATTAATTCTAATTGTAGTTTTAGAATATACCTTTAATTTAGGAATTATACATTAACTTTCCTATAGCTATACTCTTAAATCTATATACATAGATAGGGTTGTTGAACATTTTTAGCTTCTTAATGTCTATGCCCAATTAAACACAGATTAGACAAATTAATTCTACTGTTACATGGATAATTATTTGAGTAATCACAATCTTAGAAATGTATAAATTTAATGATTAATGATTACACATAGAGAGGAAGCGGTCCAGCTCAACTGGACGCCAACTCACTCTCCCTTATGGGAGGTCTTGGGTTCGAAGAATGATTACACATAGTTTCATAGTATAGATTTTGGATAAAAACTTATTTTAAATATTTTCTTATATTTATGCACTTCTAATTTTATTTTTAATACTTTCTAATATTTCCTCATGAACTGATGTAGGATAAAAGTTTCTTATTCCGAAATTAACTTGACTCCATCTAACCTAAAGTTGTTGTTCACATTTCAATGTAGGCAGTTCCCTTTGATGTTATTCTTTGAAGAGGGTTGGTGATTTCTTACCTCGTCTGTTTTTACTCATGAACAATTTTACGTCGCGATCTCAAGAGTAACGTCCCTGTTATGATTGAACTTTATTATATGAGATGAAGACAGAAAATTGACAAAGAAGACTTTCAATGTTGTTAACAAGGAAGTACTTCGTACATAATAATTTATAATTTTCTATCTTCATTTACTTATTGTTAATAACAATACATGATATATGCATTGTTCTATCTTTATCACAACATTTTTATATATTCTGAACTACTATAATCTTTAATAGCTGCATCCCGTGCGAAGCACGGGTGAAAATCTAGTATATTAAGATATAATAAGAATCCATTCTAACATTTGGGTGCTCGTTGGGCAGGTTTGTTTTGGCTATATGTGCATGTTAGAAGCTTTAGGCTGGTTGCTCTGCTTACAAGTAAAATTTACCACATCTAGCTTGCGAAAAGGGCTCCAAGGGGACATTTGGTACCCTTATTATGCTTATTATAAGCCTTACCAGCCAGTTTTTGACTTTTCATGTCAATTTTATTAAACCTGAGACATCAAATCTGCATTGTTTGGCAATTTTTACTAAACCTAAGCTAGCAATCTGCATTGTTTGGCTAACAGATTGTTCTTTTCATCCAACTTGTTGTTGTCTTTGGTGGCGGTAAATTTTCGCTATTAGTACTTGGCATTATCCCTTTAAAATAATCATAAACCGTACTCGCATTGCCTTGGTTGTAACTAGTAAAAGATGTTGCATGCTCTATGATTTATGAATTATGACCCTTCGATGACAACACATTCTTTTATTTTTTTAATAGACTAAGATCATTCATGAGATTATGATCCCTAGGAGCTCTTCCAAGCCTCAACAGTAAACGATAAAGTTCAGCATTTCCATTTTTTATGTTTACTTGGATGAGAATAATGGACAGAGTTGTGTTATAGGATAGTAATGTTTTCATTCTTGCATTTCTTCACTCCAGTTTTACATTCTCAACACTAAAAAAAAATTATTTTAGCATAATGATCATATTTTTTTCTTTCACAAATGTAAAATTACAGTGTTGAGTAAATAATTTAAATATTCTAAGCATTTTTAATGTGCAATTAACATTATAAGCTTGTTTGTTATTGTTATGTATTTCATATATTAAAGCTTAGATTAATAATTTCATCCCTATAATTGCCCAAAGTATTTTAACACTATAAGCATACATTTATGAAAGAAAAAAGAACATTATGATGGTGCTAAGATAAATTTTATATACACTTTGGGTTATTTTTATTACATATGCATATTTGGGTGTTTATCTCTCACCTTTTGAGGGTCAAATCCTTCAAATAGGGGGTTTATTAGACATTAATAATATCCGATCTTTTACTTGCTCATCACTTTCTTAGCCCATCTACTTGTTTGTTGGATCAGTTTATTTACTCACATACTCAAAATCCACTCGAAATCCTTGGGCTTACGTGTTGCACCCAAGAGTTGAAGGAATAAACCTCAACAACTATGTATTTATTTGTGTGTTTGGATGAAAAAATGATGAATTTAGAAAAGATTTAGAAAAAATGCCAATTATATTACTAGTAGAACTGTAGAAGAGTCATGGGCATAAATAGTACTAAATATTATTTATTATTTAAAAGCTAACAACCATTTCTTTGTTCCTATTTTACCCTCACCCAAACTCCTACCGACTACCTACCCGGCTACCCTAGCGCACTAAGCTATCGTTGATTCCTACCCCTTCTACCATCTTCTTCGCAAACCTGAGTATGAAATTTTCTCTGTAAAACCTTCTTAAAACATGTAAATTATTGTCTTCAGTGCACATAGTAACTACATCATACAATACTATACCTAATCCACCTTAATTAATTACTTGTACATCAATTATAATCTAGTCAGTCACCAAACCATATAAGTTACTACTACTATAAAGTTACTATATAGTCAGTATTACATTTTCTGCTCACAGAAAATCTCCAATGAAAAATCATACAAATGAAACCAAACTACTGTGGCATTATTTCTATTCCACTGAATAAATTAAAAACATTGTATCAGGATTCAAGAAGTAATTTATCTGCATCACACCAATATGAGAAATCAAACCCACCTTCAAATAACTCTAGAAAATTAGGTTTGGATCTGAAAGTGTAAAATGTCTCACACCGGAAAAGTTTGGATAAATAAAGTGATATATTTAGATCTAAGCTACTCCTCCTAACAGGTTGACCTTGTAGGATGGAACCCCAGATCTTAACATGGTATCAAAGACAAATCGATCCATGGTGTGGGCCCCCTTATGAAAAAAATGACGACATTATTATAAAAAAAATATGACAATGATGAACCGATGAAAAAAATGAATGATTGCACGTATTAGACGAAGTGTCTAGTCGTGGGAAGGGGTGTTAAATGTCCCACACCGGAAAAGTTTGGATAAACAAAGTGTTATATTAAGATGTGAGCTACTCGTTCTAACAGGTTGACCTTTTAGGATGAAACTGTTGGTACACGAGTTTGACAGCTTGAACTACATTCAAAAAGGCTTGACCATGGAATTAATGACACATTTAATGGGATTAATGCTAGCTGATTAATCTGAGCGGTTTTATGTATATAATTAGAGTAATTATTGTAATTAAGGCGTGTGTTAATTAAAGGGCTGATCAGAATTGATGATGCCATAATGACGAATTTGATGTCGTCGTAATGGTCGGAACATGTCGTCAACGGACAAAAGTGCATCAAATGCCTCTCTTATAAATAGTTACAGGTTCTATGTAATCTGAGGACACCCCATTCATATTACACATCAGATCACACTTTATTTTGCTCTCTTAGCATCTTTCTTGTTGTTCTTGTCATCTTCTTCTTTACCATTCTTGTACGAAACCCGATCAATATACAATTTCTATTTTAATTAGTTTTAGTTTGTCAAAGTTTGGCTAAAACAATTTGGCACCGTCTGTGGGAAATCGTGCAAGAAAAATTATCATCCATGGAAGCTCATAGCTCAACATCAATGGCGGAACTCAAGATGCAGTCGAAAATTGGGGAGGAAGAAACGAAACCTACCATCTTGTCAACTGCTCACACACCAACCGTCACCGCTGGTTTCATCTCGTTTAACTTGACGACACCTTACGGACTTACAAATGCAGGGGGCAACTTTCAATGGCTAGTGACGATGGTGTCCAAAAATCAAATCGGGAAAACCGGGGAACCATGCACGGACGATGTGACGATTTCGTCAAAATGTGCTATGGGAGCTTCCTTATGCGGTTGGGTACTTAGGCGCATTTTCAGAAGCAAAGCAATCACAAAGAATCCAAAAACGAAGGGAAACCATGACATCATCAAAATCATGACGACTTGCTTTGACAAACGTACCATCCAACAAGCTAAGCCCCGAGGGAAGAGAATGCGTAGGATGACGATCTGTCGGTTCCAGGGACGTGTCGGACCTTGGAAGTCAGTAGAAACATCACATTGGTGTATTTGACAAAACCGACGATTGACATACCAGGCGACATGACTGAAATCGTCGGACAGGGGGCATGTCGTACAATGATAGACAACATCTGAAGAGCTGCAATACAGTACCTTTAAAGTTGTTTCACTTTTAGTTTATTATTTTCTTCTCCGTATTGTCGTCATTCCCGTGACGAAATAGACCAGTCGACATGACTGAAATCGTCGGACAGGGGGGCATGTCATCAGGTAATAAACCTAA